GGGATCGCAACCCTCGGTGTTGCGCCCGCACCTCGCTCAGCCAGTGAGCGGCTGGTCTGTATGTGGGATCCGAACCCTCAGCGGGAGCGCCACCACACTCCCAACCAGCACACTGTAGCAGTGCGCCACCGGGCCGGCCCCTTAATTACTGTGAATTCTAATTTATCTAACAAAGAAAGTCATTGGCTATGACCTATCAGAAGATCATTGGAAATCAAAGTGGCTCCATTCATATGAACTCATGTATATGTCAATTGTCCTCTCCATGAACCATCAAAATTTCTATCGTTTCCATTTTATGACCATAAAATAATACAGCCATCACAGTTTCTACCAGTTTATTTATCCCTGCCCTAAAAGAATCCACAGTCTAGTATGGGGATACATGAAAGAAAAAATTACAGTCCAATAAGATAAGTCCTATCATAAAATCAGCCTTATTTGTAGATAAGAAATTCAGGGAACCCTATAACCTGAATGAGGCTCCCTTCCCTTTCACTCGAAATTATATTTGTCACTCCAAAATATTTGTCACTCTTGAGTAAAGTAGCTGCTGGGAACTATAGGTATGAAACCTTGGGTACTGGGGTTCTTTTTGTAGCAGAGAAAACTGATATGTTGCTTTCTTTCATGTGGGCCAAACAAGAAAAGAACATCAGACTCCAAGGCTGGGGACCAGAAAGCTTCAGATCCTGGGAAGAAGTTAGAGACCTGTGGACCCACTTAGTCAAGTGTGGTCCTGTTTGCACATGGCAGGTTTCCCTCATTCACAATAGGCCAAGAAAGACCCAAAGGGCTGAGTCCTCCCTGCCTTTGAGTCAGGGATAGTATAGGACACCAGAAAAGAAACAGGATTTCTTCAGGTACTTGTGCAGGGAGCTGACAGCAGCCAGTCTGCCTTTCTATGCTTTCAGTCAGAAAGGGCAGATTATCTGTGAGAGAAAAACGATCAACTGTTGTTAGTCTTTTCATCTGCAATACTAGGATCTAGAAGATAATGAATCACTCACATTAGACAAGATATACCATTCATCTGTGAGGGCAAAAAAAAGAAAAGAAAGGCAAGAAGTAAGATATTTGGGCAAGACATTTGAGGATTATGAAGAATTCATCTATCACTCAAGAACCCATCCAAAGAAAATATTTCAGGAAAGATTTTAATCAGACTACAAAGAAATAACTCGAACTCCAAGAGGGGGAAGGATGAAGAGGAGAAGAGACACTGATAGGCAATGAATTTTGATCTTTGCTCTCTCAGTTAATGTTTTTCCTTCTCTCCCACTTTACATGCACACGTGCATGTACACACATGCACACACGCCACGTAGATATGTTAAAACTGTGTGGGAATGTATAAAATAAAAGTTAAGAAGTCAAAAGGAAGGGATATATTATTAAGAGAATTTATAATAAATACTAACCTATCTCAGCAAAATGTACGGGTTGAGATGGCAGCAGATGTGGAGAAGGGGGAATAAAAAGACTTCTGAAGGTGTCACTGGAAGGAGGGGGGAGGGACAGGATAATAAATGTCTATTCTTATTGGGGTGGGAAGATAAGAAAGGGAAAACAATGTGTAGTGGGGTAAACACTCCACTGGGCTAGAGAAATATTTGGTATCTTATTTTCAAGTGATAAGAGAACCATACGCATCTCATTACTGGAGCAAGAAAAGGGAGGGGAACCACTCATGGAATGAAACAGTCAGATGAACTCCTCTGAACAAAATCTAACAAAATTAGAAATAAATAATAAAACAGTGGCCCCCCAAAATTGTAACTCCTTAAAAATAAAGATATATAAAGGTATGGTAGTATTTTTTTTCTCTTTTTGCCCCCCAAAATTGTAACTCCTTAAAAATAAAGATATATAAAGGTATGGTAGTATTTTTTTTTTCTCTTTTTAAAAAAAAATTTAATTGACATATATTAATTGTACAATTTATGGATACCTCGGTTGGTTCCATATCTTGGCTATTGTGAATAGTGCTGTAATAAACATGGGGGTGCAGATATTTGATAGGAAAAAGAGCTTTTCCTCTCACTCCTTTATTTATCTAGCATAATATATCGAAATGATTCTCAAAAAATAGTTTTCTCTTTAGATTTGGTTAAAGCTAAGCTAGATTTTATCATGTTTTATCAAACAGTGCTTTAGTTAAATGGAAAAGTTAAGCATTGATATATTTTGTTTTGCATTTTCCCCTCCAGGATTGATAACTGGCTTAATGCAGCAATTGAATGCTTGGAATGTTTCCCTGATACTTACAGTTAGTCAGCAGTTGGTGCAAAACAGAAATGAAGAGACAAAACTAAATATTCAGAAGAATATACTCTTTGATGTCATACTAAAATACTATAATCCAGAGAGAGATTGCCTACTAACTGATGAATATTTTGATATTCATTCAGGAATTATTGAACTTTTAGGTAATGGAGAATGTTAAAACTTTAATTTTTTGCACAATAAAACACTTAAATATACAAATTGAATAGAAAATTTTATGTATTTTATAAGTATTTCATTTCAATGTTTTTATTGTATGGTGTTAAGGTACGCCATGGAGTCTTTTTTCGCTTTACTACTCTATCGTCTGCCATGTAAATTGTCCTGTCAGCTGTAATAATGTAGTGTAGAATGTAAATCTAAGGTACAATATATCACAGGGACATTCTAAGAAACACATTGATATAGTCCAAGAGAACAGAGGTGCCTAGAAATACTAATTTCTGATGTATTGATTTGGTGACCTTTTAGCAAAATAGAAATTGAGTGACATGTCGTCATGTCACTCTTTTAGCTACATAGGTGGCCCTGTAATTCCTTATTAAAAACAAAATACTGTTTGATAATGCTGGATGTAATTACACAGCATATTATTTAGAATTTTATATATACATAATTTCCTGTTTTTGAAATATTTCATAATAAAAAGTTTTGAGTGTAAAAAAGAACCTTCACACCAAATGTGCATTGTAGCACTTTAATTGACTACTAGGTACTGTACTTTCCATTTTTTGTCCCATGCTTTGTCTTCTTTGTAACCCATGTAACAGAAAATAAGAACAGAAGCACTGAAGCAATACAGCTGTATCTAAGATTACTGTTGCCCAACATCAAAGAAGAATTACAAAAGACTAGTTACATTTGTGGCTATCACATCAGAACCTAATGCCTACAAGTTGCAAAATTTGTAGAAAATTTGCAGTAGTAGTTTTATAGTCTTTTGCCATTTGTTCCTTTAAAAAACATTGAAGCTAATGTTAATCTTTCTGTTTACAGTATAATAACAAAACAGTCGTCCTGAAAACTCTTGGAAAAGCAGTTTTGCAAAACAAATCATTATTAAAAGTATGGGCAGAACAACTGGTCTGGTTTCTACTGGAATATATCACTCAGCTCTTCAAGGTATCTCTGGCATTTTGTCTGGATACATTTTTTACTAAACTACTTGTGTGAAGCAAAAAGACAAATCATTTACTTAGTGAATAATCTACGGAATACCTATAATGTGCAAAGCTTGAAGTAATGCCATCTTCCTAAACCCACTAAAGAGAAGGAAGCAGACTTAAACCAATTTCAGTATTTGCAAGCATATTGGTTGATCTATTCAACCCATTTCTTGTGCATTACTATGTGTCAGGCACTGTTTTACATGCTGGGAATACATCAGCAAACAAAACACAAAGATCCAAGCACTTGAGGAGCTCATATCCAAGTAGGGGAAGACAGACAGTAAAAAGATACACACAATAAATCATAAAGTCATATAGTTTGATAGGAAGTTATAAATTCAGTAGAAAAAAGAGAAAGACTGGTTAAAGGGATTTATGGGTGCTAGGTCAAGGGTGGGCAGGAGCTTACAATATTAAATAGGGTGGCCAAGATCTCACTGAGAAAGTGAGATCTGAGCAAAGACTGGAAGGGGGGAGAGAGTCAACCAGGTGCTGTGGGGGTGGGTAGTAGTTTGGGGCAGAGAGAATGGTTCCCAGGACTTCCAGTCAAGATGGTGGAATAGACGGTCCCTAGCGTCACTCTCTCCCACAAATCAACCAATTTAAACTATAAAAACATAACATCAAGTGCATATGGAACAGTGAGACGTCTGGCGGGGGAGGCAGAAGCTCCGTGGAGACCACAGGCCCTGCAGGGCTGCCGTTGCACGATACGGCAGATAAGCTTCACTGCCGCCACCTGGCTCCATGCCCAGCCCACTGCACACAGAGTGTGGAGACATCTATCAAGGGAGGTGGAGGCTCTGCAGAAACCACACACACCCCCTGTGGGGCCGCCACTGCGTGATCCAGCAGGTAGGCTTCACCGCAGGCATCTGACTCCATTCCCAGCCTGGCCTAGTG